CTTCATCGATCAGCTGGCATAGCGTTGTGCCGAAACCGCGCAGCACGGCGCATTCGCGGCCACTGTACAGAGGCAGCGGGTAGTTGCGCAGGGCTTGTAGTGCCTGCCGCAGCTTGTGCTGTGATTTGCGATTGCGTTGCTCAGCTTCATGTAGCCAACGCTCCAGCCATCGCGTGAACAGGGGATTTGGCTGCTGCAGCTTAATTTCTAGACGTGCCTCCATCGCCGCGCCAAACTACAAACTAAGGCTGCCACCTAGTTGAAATATCTATGCACTGTCGTGCGAATGTGAAAAGCAAAGGAGAATCGCTCCAGTTAACGTCTTGTAACAATAATAAAATCTTTTGTTTTGGCTTACATTTGTCTACCTGCGTGTGAGTTTTTCTTTTAATAAAATAAATATTTTTGGGTACCGCCATCTATTGAGGATACCAAAATTTTAAATACCATACCATGTAAAAAGTGTCCGCTGAATATTGTGCGCATGTGCATGAGCACGCACCATATCGCCACCTGTTGAGATTCTCGGAAGCCAAGCTACCAGACCGTTGAAAATAATATGGGCTAATGCTGCCACTTACTGTTTGGAAATGTGATTGTCCAATTCTGAAGCGTGCAATTTTGTTTTGCGGCAATTTGTAATAAGGATGACCACCAAAGCTTCGAGTACCTCCAGCAATGCTAACGTCGACATCAATGATATAAACCTAGAGGGCCTGAGCCTCAGCGAGGGTATTCGGGATTCGCCTGTCTGCATCATCGTGCTTGGCATGGCCGGCTCAGGCAAAACCACTTTCACGCGGAGCCTCATCGAACACGCTCAGGCACAGTTTAATCCGTATGTAGTAAACTTAGATCCCGCCTGTCGTGAGGTTCCCTATGCAGCGCATATCGACATACGGGACACGGTAAACTACAGAGAGGTAATGAAACAGTATCAGCTGGGCCCCAACGGCGGAATTGTCACTGCGCTCAACATGTTCACCACCAAGATGCCCAAGTTCGCGGAGCTGGTGCGACGCGCTGGCGAGCGTGGCCACAAATGGTGCATCATCGACACGCCTGGCCAAATTGAGGTATTCACCTGGTCGGCATCTGGTAGCATCATCACTGAAGGCCTCGCTACCATGTTTCCCACGATCGTTGTCTATGTCATGGATGTTGTCCGTTCCAGTTGCCCTACCACATTCATGTCCAACATGTTGTATGCGTGCTCCATACTCTACAAGACGCGACTGCCCTTTCTGATTGCGCTCAACAAGGTAAACACACTTCGAGCACACTGTTAAAATATATGATATAAAAATCTGTATATTCTAATTGAACAGATTGACCTGAAGGATTGCAGCTTTGTACAGGAGTGGATGACCGACTTCGAGGTGTTCCAGGATGCATTGGAAGAGGAGCACAGCTATGTCAACAATCTGACGCGCACCATGTCGCTTACACTCGACACATTTTACGAGAATCTGATCACATGCGGTGTCTCGTCCAAGACGGGTATCGGCTTTGCAACCCTCATCAAACACGTACTTGACTGTGAGACCGAATACCATCGCGACTACAAGCCGGTGTATGAGAAGATGCGTTTACAGCGCATTGCCGAGCAGCAGACGACTCCGCAGCCAGTCGACAACATTGATGAGGCCGGCACAGCTGTGCCCATGGGTCTCGATATAAGTGTCAGTAGCTATTCGATAGATGATTATCTGGAACTGTAGCTAATTTCAATTTCTCCACTCTTGCAGGATCCAAAGACCAACTCAGAGAATAGTGTATATCTTATGGCGCCGAGCCTAGTGCCGGTGCAAACGGATGCCGATGAGGAGCTGGAAACCGATGCCAAAAGCAAAGCAGAAGAACAAAACTTTCAAAGTTTCGTTCAGAGTCATTTGACGGCACAGCAAAATAAACGGGACAAACAGCAGCGCGATCAACAGGCGCAGAATCCTTGAAAGTGATAAACTATATTCGTTATTAACAAATAGATTTAAGTCGAAAGATAGCATCGAAAGCGCATAATTTTAGAAATAAATGTACATTATACATATATTAGTGAAATGTTTAATGTATGTATTATATGCAGTTACTTTGCTCTTTATTATTATTCACTTTAACAAGCAAAAACATTCAATATAGTGTTTGTGTTTCATTTTCATTTTTGTTTTTGTATATAGTTATGTATGTATTTATTTATATATATATATGCGTGTATGTGTGTCTATGTGTTGTTCTCATTGTTCTGTGGTATAGATGGACTTAACTGTTTAGCATTTGCAAATAATTTGTAACAATTACAGTGATATATATTGGATATATATATATAGTATATATACTATCCATGTTTGGAATCTTTGATTTGATTTATTCAATAATGCATATACATGTATATATATGCGTGCTGGTGTATATGTAAATGCAAGCCATTGTGTTCACAATTTGCTTATATTATAGCATATACTATACAGTATGTATATAGTATATAATATAATGAGCAAATCAATTGTAAGTGCGCCCTGCCACGCCCAGCTCGCAGTTTTTGTTAAATATATGTATATGTATATATTATGCTTACAAAAATACAGATCATCTCAAATTACAATTACAACTCTCAATGGTTTACACAGTTATATAGATCGACATACATACATGTTACATACAGTTACATACATATTCATAAACATATATAGTGTATACAGTGTACATAGTATTACTTTTCATTTCATTTGTATTTCCTCATATTGTTTCATTCCTATTCCTATCAATCGAACTATGATCTACATATGAGCTCTTCAATATCTAACTCTATGCGATTTCCGCTCCTAACCGTGGAGAAACTTAATACTTGATTCCATATTCTTGCTGCATTTTCAATTTGTGCTCAAGAGACTGGAGTTGCTCTAGACTGGACTGGACTCAAATGATGGCATATACATAAGTATTAGAGCGTTAAGGGTGCGTTGCATAAATATCGCCCAGCGTCAAGGATGCTCCAAGTGTTCCGATCGAGGCTTTCGATCCAGTTAAATGCAGTTTAAGCTTAATATTTGTGCTAAAAATCATACACACATACATACTTATCTTATGTATATCATATACATACGTTAATCTTGTATAAGTTTGGTGGGCGTGTGATATACGCACACCCACGTACACCGAAGAAATTATGCTCACAATGGAAGGAATTCAGTGCTAAACAAAATAGAACAAAAACAAAAATGTGTTTGGTAACAGCTTATTTAAAGAATCCTTAATATGTTTTCAAGAAACAGTCTTCTAGGTTTTTGTTTTACACTTCTTTCTTTTTTGTTTACTTTGGAAACATAACAATGAAAATTGCTTGAGTGTCATTGAGTTTTGTTCTTTTTTTATAATTTTTTATTATTCTGCGTTTGCTTTACGTTTTATTTTTTTTTTCCATATTTTTTTTTTTGTTTTCTTTTTTTTTTGCATAGCTTAGCTTGGACAGTATTTAAAAATTTTTTTTTTTACTTTTTTTTTCGAAAAAGTCAAGTTCTTAACATAATATATATATCAAATCCAAGTAAACAAATATATGCACGCATTTGAAATACATTGAAATATGTTTAAGATCTACAAAGTAATATATATTTCTATATATATATATTTGTATATATAAAGATTCACGAATATTTATATATAAAGCAAAAGTTTTGTGCACATATTTGATTATTTGTCAAATATATATTTGATTAAAATACGCTTCATTTTATTCATTCATTTACTTAAGTTGTTTCAAGCATTTCCTTTTTGGATTTTTTGATCAAAATTTTATTTATCTATATAGGCCTGTATATCTCTTTGTGTATATATATCATAAAAATATGTAAATACATATCTGAAAAAAATAAATGGATAAACAAAATAACAATAATAATAATATTTAAAAATAAGACATCAAAAAGCGAAAAAAGTGGGGCACACGCACGACTAAAGTTTATGATTTCTTTTGTAGTTGTTGTTGTTGTTGTTGCTATTTTTATATACATAGAAATTAATCATCGTCGGACAGATTTGTTGTTGTGAGCAGTGTGGCATTATCCTCGGCGCCCTGCTCCTCAATATCCTGCAGAGGAGATAGAAGAGACAGAGAGAGAGAGAGAGTTGAGGAAGATTTGATTAAGTTTAAATTGACTTAAAGTCTCATATATACATATATCTAATCCATGCCCCATTTATGGGCTAGCCCTGCCTCAAAAAGATTTACACTTTGTTTTTCTTATACAAAATATATTTTTGTTTGTTTTCTTGTTACATTCGATAGGACGTATAAAATACCACACGATCAATATGTTAAACATTAAAAGTACTCCGATTTACACACACACACACACACATACATATGTAGATACGTATATAGATTATGTATGCATGCATGTGTACACACACACACAATGTCACATACATATATGTACCTGCTGCATTGCTCTAGTATTTCATCACACACACATATACACACTCATACAACACACACACACATATACATATACATTTATATAAATTTAGAGACGAAAAAACACAGTTTTGATTCATAAAGTTTTGATTTAAATTTGCTTTTTTTTTTTTTTGTTTTTAGAATTCTTGTATAAAAATAAAAAAAATTTGTTTATTTGAAATAAATGTTATTTTGTAATATATGTAATTATAATAATAATAAAAAAAAAAATCCTTATATAATGAAACAAAACATTTGGGCTTACAAAGAATTTTGCACTTTGAGAAAATTTGTAAATGCGACAGAAAATAAATGTTTCATGTGTTGTGTTGCTTAGTGTTACAAGTGCTTGAGTTCAGTTCACTAATAGAATTATGTTCGTGTTGCAGTAGTAGTTATAGTTGCAGCTGTAGTTCATGTTGTGGTTGCTGTTGTTGTAGTTAAATTTGTTGTTTGTATTTTCGTTTGTTTGTGTGTTTGTTTGTTGCTTGAGCGTCTGGAAGTATACGGAAGATTTTGTTGCATTTGATTGTGGCTGTTGCTCTTGCTGCAGTTGCAGCTGAGCTGCTTCATTTGAGCTTCTGCTTGGCCGGACTGGACGACACCTGATCCGCCTCGGGCAGATCGCTCTCCTTCTTGCGCTTCGATTTGTCCTTGTTGGGGGCCTTCGCCTTCTTGGTCTGTGCCGCCAGCAGCTTGGCCTCACGCTTCGCCTCACGCTTGGCGCGCAGCTGCTCGGTGATGAATGAGAACACCAGATAGCCCTGCACGGCGATCAGGCCGATCAGTGCAATGACCGCACGGAGATTATAGCTGCCGCCGGACACGCAAATGCCATAGTAGAGTGTGAGCACGCCAATCACGGAGGTGGCGAAACGCACCAGGACGAAGCACACGTTGTTCACGATGCCCACACGGGCCAGACGCTCCTCGCGATCGAAGACACCGATCAGCTGGAAGATGTGGGCGAGCAGCTCGCTGAAGTAGTGGAGCGTGAGCAAAACGAGAGCCAAGCGCTGGAAGCTGAGCGTGTAGGCCAGCACGATGAGTGTGAAGCCGCTAATGGAATGTATGATCTTGGGCTGTTGCTCCTCCTTGGCGCGCACCTTCTGGAAGTAGAGCTCGGGCAGCATATGCAGATAGTACGACAGCTGAATGATGAAGTAGAACTTGTGCAGAAAGCTCATCGGATGCGCTGGATAGCCCTCCCAGAGCAGAGCCACCTGGCCGAGGTAGCCTTCGCGCAGCGCCACATGCGTGCCCCAAATGAATGAGAGCAGATAGAATGCGACCAGTTGGCCGGATTCGTTGAAGCGAGCCAACTTGAATTTGGACAGATGCAGCTTCTTGCTAATCTTGTCCAGCACAAACTCCTGGATGATGGCGTGCATGATGATGCAAGTGAGCGTGTAGAAGAATATAGCACAGTAGTCCTTGATGCCGGCCACATATGTATACGGCTTGCCATAAGGCTGTTCCCTGGTCGGCTCCTCGCCGCTCACGTTGTGATGCAGCGATATGAAGGCACTGGCAAACGATGCCGTCGATTCGTTCATTAGCCCAACCACAAACACCATTGCCACACAGGAGATGATGTCCGCGTGGTTTTGTATGACGAACTCATGGCTGAATATCGGTGGATTCTTGTTGCTCGTCTTGCGTCCCAGACCTGGTTTGATGGCCATAATTAATGTTTGTTACTTCCTTTCAGGCGTGTTGCTCTGCAATGTTGCAAGTTGATGAGATTAGTGAATGCAATTAACTGACTGCCCCTCTCTCTCTCCCTCCCTGTCACTCTCTCTCTTGCCCTTTCATTCGGTCACACGCTCTGTGCGGGCGTCTGTGTGTATGCGCGTGGCTGTTGCAACGTCAGCAGTCGCAGCAGCAGCTGACAACGCCAGCGGAATTATGGCCATGTGCATGCAAATGCCAATTGGCCCGTGCAACAACAGCGCACACACACACACACACACACACGCGCGCGCGCACACAAAATTAATGCAAACAATACAAATTTGCCTTGTTGGCACACACACACAGCTATACACTTACGCGAGCGCCACAATCAAACACACTCACCCACACACACAATTGCACAAGAGAGAGAGAGAGAGAGGCGGCTGCCGCTACACGCAAGCAAATTTCTTTTCTTCTTTTTTACTTTTCACTAGACAAGCGAGTTTAATGTTGTTGTTGCTTACAGGATTGGAATTTGTGTTACAATTTGCTGACGTCGACGTATGTATTTCAGTTGTGTATATTACTTTCGCTTCCACTTGTTATTATATTTGTTATTCTTGTCAAACGGTATATTCTTTATTTGGATTTTTTTTTTGCATCTAGTGTGCCTTTGGTCCAGCCGCCTCTGCTGCCTGCCTACCTCTGGCTTTTAGTTTCTCTGCTGCCTCACCTGTGAGTGAGTGACTGACTGACTAACTGACTGACTGAATGAATGTGTTGCTACGTTTCACCGCAATCACTATGTGAATGCCAAGGCGGCCTACTGGCAAAACAGAGCCGAGCAACAACAACAGCGCGCAGACATACACCAGAGCCGTAGCAGTACAACAAAACACTGCCAGCGGTAGCGACAACAGCTACAACACTAACACTGGCACTAACAACAGCAACAACAACAACAACAACAACAAAAAACTGCCACGCAAACGACTCTCGGCTCCAACGGGCAATAGTATATGGTCGTGTTGTTGTTGGTTTTTGTTGCTGTTGCCACTGCTGGTTCACTACCACTTGTTCACGTTGTTGTTTATTGCCTGCTCGCTTCCGCACACACTGCACTGTGTCTTCGCCTTGCCGGTTACAGTTAAGCGCTCTCGCTTCCACACGCCCAGAGCGCCACAATATTATGTTGAGGCGCCCAATCGTTAGTGTCACGATGTTTGGCCACGATGTCCGTTTTGATGTTCGTCTGCTTCGTGTACGAGCCGACTATGACGTGGAATTTGTTGTCTTTTCAGTTTATCGATAGACATAACAAGCGTCAACCGAGTCTTTGCAACCCTGCACCACTTGCTGATAGTGGACATAGCAAAATAAAGGTCGAGCACTGCATATGTACATTGTCTGCTGGTGATGTCGATGTAGCTTCAAATATACACATTTCACTCACAGATTTTCACAACGGCCTCGTCATGCGCAGTAACCGAGCACATCACAGAGCTAATGCGCTCTTTAAATTTTGCCATTAACATTAATACGCGCACATTGCACAACTTATATATAACCGTTGGCATTCAAAAAATATTTGAATACGACGAACGCGCACATAAAGCTATAAATATGAAAGAAATTTATTAGATCTAATTAAATACATATAAATGTTGTATATGAAGAATAACTGCTATATGTTCACTTATTATATGAAGAGGAATCTTATTGGGGATGTCTGCTTATAATTATGTATTTAATTGGTAAGGATCTATCTCTGTTTACTTTTGGCCTTTGTTGAATAGTTTGATATCTGAAACCCATTTCAGTTACGTTTTTATGGGTGATTGTAATTAGCGCAAGGTTATGCAAGCCACTGGCCCCCCACATGGCAATTAAATGCATTTTGTACTCACGTTACGATTTCGCTTGCGCACAGAGGACACAATTGTGCGCTTGTTGCGTGCCACCAGGCAAACGGTTATAATTAAAATCATGCCGATAAGTGCAAATCCGAGTAGGGCAGGCAGCAGCACGCTATCCTCAGCCTTGTAGCCCTACAAATGCGAAAGGGAGAGAAAGAATTTGTGTGTGAGTGTGTGTGAGAGAGAGAGAGCTAGACAAGGACACAGGCATAGGCAAGCAATTAGAGCGAGATCCGATACTTACCGACCACTGGACATAGGTGGAGGGATCTATGTAGGCCCAACGTGTATTCATCCAAATGTTGTTGCTCTTGTTCTGACCCACATCCGTGTTGCTTGATGATTGTTGTTGCTGTTGCTCCTGCTGCTGTTGTTGTTGTTGTTGCTGCTGCTGCTGTTGTTGCTGCTGCTGCTGTTGGAGCTGTGTGCTCTGCGTCTTGGCTAGCACGGGCGGCATGATTGGTTTCTTGGCTGCCGACTTGAGCAGCGGTACTTGTATGATGCGCGTGGTTAGGGTGGCTGCCATCTGACGATTGGTAAGCGGTGGGGCGGCAGCGGTTGTCCTTGGCAAGGCTGGGCGTGCAGTGCTGGCCGGGATCAGGGGTGCCACTTGATCAGTTGTTTGCATGCTCTGAATTGTTGTTGCTGGTGCTGGAGCTATTGTAGTTGTTGATGTTGTTGTTGTTGTTGTTGTAGTAGTAGTAGTAGAAGTTGTTGTAGTGCTGCTAGGTGGCAAAGTCTTGTTGACCTTTAATATGAACTGCTCAATGCCATTGCGATTCACAATCTGGACAGTTTTGCCTACATTCTGACCCAGCATGGCAGCCACTGGTGGAGCTGGAGCTGGAGCTGTGGCCATCCGGGCTCCACCAGTGGCTGTTGCGGCTCCTGCTGCTGCTGCCGCCGGATGTAACTGCTGCCTGTCGCCGCTGTGCGTGAAAGCCGCCTTCGTTTTGAGGAACCATTCAGTGGGACTAGGCAGACACTCGGCGGAAACCAGAAACGGTATGAGCACGGCCCCAATGATCACCGTGCAGACAAAGATCAGGCCTAGATACGCAAAGAATGTGCGACGTCTGCGTGGCGCACCTGCCGACGCGCTGCGCTTGGCGCCACTGGACGTGCTCGAGGAGGAGGATGTGCACGTTACGGAGGATGTGTTCGCTGCCTGGCAGCTGGCGTTGCTCAGCTTGCCCTCAATCCGGAAATCATCGTTTTGCGGTAAAATCGTGTACTGCAAGCTGTTCTCGCCGTGCCGTATTGTTTTGTACATATTTAATATATTTTTTTTTCTTCGACTTTCGCGTCTTTCTTTTGTTACGTTTTTCTCTTTGTGTATTTGTGTTTGTAAGCGAAAACAAGGACACTGTAGGACACTTTTTTCTTTATGGAGCTCTGTTTCCTGGTGCTCAATTGTGCTTCACACTAAACGCTGGTGTGCCAATTGTTGTTGTTGCTGTTGTTGCTGCTGCTGCTCCTGCTGCTGCTGCTGCTGCTGCATGCATGCTTCTTGCGCACTAATTTTATGTTTTTATTGATTGAGCGTTGTTGTTTTGCCAATCGCTGAGAGACGAGCGCTGGCAGCGCAGCTCGAAAAACCAAAACTTTTTGGCGCAGTCGCAATTCGCAAATGCCGCAGTGTGGCAAAGCAGATAACGGTTTCAGCGCACTCATCTGGCCAGTGCTGGGCAACGCCAGCGCAAACTGCATGCCAACAAGAATATGCCATTCACACAGGATATACATATGCATACACACATACAAATGCACACAGCATACAGCATGATGCAAATGAATTGAGTAAGAAATTTGAATTGATATAATAATTTGTATTATTTTCAATTTATATAACTCTATCTATACCAATATGTAGTATTACATACATCATAGTTAACGGGCATATTATTGAACCTATTATTGTATATGATTGGATGAGCTCTGACAAAAGCTGTTTGATTTTCACACTCAGTTTCTACATGCAGCTACAAAGTATGCAAAGCGCAGGCAAATCTAAATACTTGAATTCTATATAGAATTGAAATTTCGAAAAATCGTAAGCTTTCTAAAAATGTCTTGCTATTTTTCAATGCAGTTTACACTCCCACATAATTTACTCTATGTACATATTCTTCATTTAAGTATTGACCCTGCCTTCTTATGCAGTTCCATAAGCATATCCATGCAAAGATAGGTGATATACAATCGGTTGGAATTGTAGCGCGGGAACGACGAGCGAAACAACGAATTCTATCATAAACAATCATAAATGAAATATCAAAATTTGCCAACAGATTTATGACCAACAGCAAATGTAACATTAATTGAGCAATCGATCGGTCTCAACTAAGGTCCGCTGCATAGCTAAGCGCACTGATAAGAGACCCAACGATAAGAGACCTGACCAAGTGGTTTGCTGCGAGTCCAGCTGCTTATCAAACAGAAATAGTTGGCAACTGTTTAATGCATTGCACGGTCGCTGCCAGAAATCGGTCAGTAACGGTAATGCGATTCAAGTGCGAGCAACATGCTCCTGTTAATCAGTGTTGGTCTTGGCTTAACGCTAGCCTTCCTCAGCTTCGGCTTGCTTGTGGTGCTGCCATTTCTGGCTATCTTAATGGTGCTGCTCTGCCTGGGCCTGCTGCTGCTGAGTCGCAAGTCTGTGCTCATTTTCGACAAGTATCCCAGCAAGGGCATCTTTTATAGGCTAAAGTATCAGATTGCATTGCTCGTGCTGCGCAAGCTGCGCGATCGCATCTATAAGCGTAACGAGGAGGAGCTAAGCTCCGCATCGCATCTGGCCACGCTTGATCGGCCCCAGCCGCTAACGGACGACCCGAAGAGCTACGATGTGGTCAGCCTTATGGCTGCCAATGCCGCCGGCGAGAAGCTGATGATCACGCTGGAGCGGCGCCGGCGTGGCGTACTGAAAGCTGCGCTCTACCTGTGGCTACCCAGCGGCAAGCTCTATATGCTGCCCAAGCTACCGGACATGGTGCACTTCACCAGTGACGGCAGCGAGGAAAGCACCGAATTTCGTGGCGCAGGCTTTCACATCTATCCGGAGCAGGCGATGACTCTATGGCGCGTCAAATACGTTGGTCAGCTGCGTAGCGAAGCGGAGCAGGAGCTGGTGGATGTGCAGCTGGATATGCAGTTCGTGAGCCAAACGGCTCACTTCAATTACAATCGTGATCTCAGCTCTTCGCTCATTGCGGACTCCGTGGCGCGTGAGGCCTGGAACGAGAGCTTCTATGGCATGCTCAAGTCCGTCGGCCACATTGTGGAGAAGCGTACCCACTACGAGCAGTACGGCCAGTTGAAGGGCAGCATTGTGTTGGGCCAGCAACAGCTGCAGCTGGAGCTGCGCAGCATTCGGGATCACAGTTTCGGCACCGAGCGCTGCCTCAGCTCGATCAATCGCTATGTGTACTTCGCTCTGTTGCTCGATGATGGCAGCAGCATGGTCGTTGGCAACCTAAGTCAGCCCTCTTTCTTCCTATCCTCGCTCAAGGTGGGCTACGTGTGCACGCCCGAGGGCGTCTATCAGGCGATTACGGCAAGCAACTTTGAGCTCTACTCCTACGGCGAGAAGGGTGTGCCGCCACAGCATCAAAACTTCATTGTGGAGACCGCGGAGCGCTCGTATCTGGTCCAAATACGCGTGGAGCACAGTGCCGTGCGCTTTGTAGGCGGCGACTGGGAGTCCAAGGTCTACAATCAGTTCGTCGCCTGCACCGTCAACGGCATCGGCGGCCAGGGACATGCTGAATATCTCTACAGGCACAAGATGGGACGACCAGATGCGGTGTCTGCCAAGGATCCCGAATGGTATCAGCGCATCAAGAGCTTTGAGCGCAGCCTGAGCACCCTGGAGCCAGTCATCGAAGAAGATTTTATATTTTAAGCAAATTCCCAACTCTTCTATACATAGATATATATACATATATATACATATATATAATAATGGCTTGTGATAAAATAATATTACTCTTCAATCATATGGTGTGAATAAAACTTAATATATTGATTTTAAGATGGAACGACGAATGACACAAGTTGGATTTAAAAAAAAGATATATTCTCATGCTCTTCAAGCTAGCTAGATAAATAGTTCCGCATTAAGTTAAGGATTTGTATGAGAATGAATTCCCATGGTATCAAATTTGTATTCCTGATATGTGGCCTACGTCTTCATTGGAGAATTCGTCTTTCTTGGATTACTAGAATCAAATAGATTTCTTTCAATATCAATCACAAATGAAAATATATCCATCCGTCCATGATCACACATTAAACTAATAATATTAGTTTAAAGTTTCAAGTAATAGTCATTTGAGATCAGAGAGTAAGTCAGGCATATTTTTAGCCGCGACATAAACTAACGAGCTTTATAAATATTTATAAATGAATTGGAGCACAACACTTGAGCTGTGCGGACGACGATCGTGATAAGATATGGCAATTATTTGGGATTTTCTATCAATAAATACTGAAAGAAAAAAAATCGAAGGAAAAATAAAAAAGTAGCTATTACGTATTTTATATATGTCTGCTGATTTATGGCTCCAAAGACAACGATTGGCGTTATCAAGAGGCAGTATTATGCCTGAGATTAGCAACAATCCAGTCCAGCTGGCTGGAATCCTATGCTACGATAAGCACAGTTAATGAGAATTACATGGGCAGAAATTATGCCGTTAATGCTGCCAATTTTCATTCATGGCCCATAAGTTGATTACTGAAGCATTATACTGAGCCAAGATACCTGAAGTCAGAGCTATCTAGCTAGATTAGGCGATACCCTGACCAACTCAACTCTTGGTGTTGCTTGAGAATATAGTACATATGCATATGGCTTATGGGATATGCCACGCCCACTTCTGCATGTTACACATATTTCAACAAATTCAGTTCATTCTCAATGGGTTCCATATCTCTAGCCAGAGAATATAGCCTTACAATTGATATATCTTTTGACATCTGTTTAATGACATAGTTACCCTTAGTTATTTAAGCACATCTATAATTTATTAAGCATATTAACAATTGATAATTAATTGAATTACATATTTTGTATAATCAGCTTTTTTGCTTATATGTATAATATTTGTATATAATAATTTAGTATATGAATTTGGACAATCTTTGCACGAACAATACAATTTTCTGAACTTTGTTTTCTTAAGCGATGACCGTGATACAATTGATCTTTATAAATCGCATTTTAAATAGAATATAAAGTGATATACAAATTTTGCTCCTACAACATACATTGATTTTGATCTTAAACTAATTTAATATTACTAATATTAAAAAAAGAGTTGTGTTTCTTTTTGCATGATTTCAAATCGAATTAGTTTACCTCGGAAATTTGAAAGGAATTTCAATTTCCTGCGTTTCGATATATATTTCATTTTGCTTTCAAAACATATGTAAGAATAAAATATATATAAAAGAATTTTTATCCGACTTTCGCTCAAAATTTCCATTCAAAATTATCTGGTTTTAAGATGCTTAACGTTGCTAACAACTCAGAGGTGAGCTCCACGTCGACCATAGTCAATGCAAAGGAGCCGAACAATTTGCCAATGGTTCCTGCCACCAATCATAGTAGGAGCCGCAGTCGTAGTGGTAGTCGGAGTCGAAGTCCAGGTGTTATCTGTGACAGTATGAATCTGAGTCCATCCGAGATGCCGTCGAATAGTCGCCGAGCCTTTCTCCAGCATATGGTAGACAGTCTTCCAAAGTCGGTGTACAATCGGGTATTGGCCCTGAAGCACAATCAATTGCAGCAAATCAAGATATCGGAGCAGTTCTTTCGAGAGGTGTATGAGCTGGAGAAGCGTTTCTATTTACAGAGCTGTACGCTCTTCGATAGCCGTCGCGACATTGTGGCCGGTGATGTGGAGCCGCCGGCAATTGAGCGCTATTGGCACGAGGAACCCGACGATCTTCTTGAGAAGATTAAGAGCTCGGAAGAGTTTAAGCAACTGACGGTGCAGCTGCATCACTTACCAGCCAATGCGGTGGGTGTGCCCCGCTTCTGGTTGACGGTCTTTCGCAATGTGTCCCTCATCTCGGATTTGGTCCAGGAACATGATGAGCCATTGCTTGAGTGTCTGGTAGATGTGCGCATTAATTACGAGCCGGATAGCTATACGGTTGTATTTCAATTTCGTCCCAACTTATATCTGCACACATCGTCGCTGCTGTTGACCAAGAAATATATACTGCGTCACGAGGCCGACAAGGATTATCCGTTTATGTTCGAGGGTCCAGAGATTGTCCGCTGCGAGGGCTGTCACATACACTGGCGGGATGGCTCCAATTTGACACTGCAAACGGTGAGGCAGAAACGTCTCCGGAAAGGTGCACGGAACATACCAAAGGTGATGCCACGCGAATCCTTCTTTCGATTCTTTTCGCCGCCGCAAGCGATGGATCTATCATTGGCCGACGAGAAGACCAAAATGGTACTTGGCGCTGACTTCGAGGTTGGCTATCTGCTGCGCACTCAAATTGTTCCTAAGGCGATACTCTTCTATACTGGTGACATTGTGGATAACGTTAACGATGACCTCTGCTCGGTGGAAAATACATCAGCATCGTTGTCCTCATTGTCGCACGTTGATCAGGATGTTCAGAAAGATTGTAGGCATTGTCTCAGCATTAACAGTGTTAATTCTTAATACTATTTTTACAATATTCAATAATCGTACGCATTTTAATTCTTACTTTCCACTTATATATACATTTACTTTTGCAGTTCTCATTTACAATTGATAATTGAAATCTACTTAAATATACTTGTATAGTACTCCTCCTCCAAATCGTATAGATCCATGGCCATCTCATCGCGCAGCTTCATCAACTTTTTATCGCACTCAATTTGTTTGCCCCGAAACAGCTGTGAATTATTCGTAATCGCCTCATTCACCGAATGAAAGTCGTTCAGTATGAGATACTGTTTAAGATCGGCAACGAGCTTCATCAGCGATTCACCGGCGCGCACTGCAAAACAAAGAAACAGCTGTTAGACTCTTTTTATTAAAGTGCTCCAAATGTGTAACGCCTTAAAGGAAATATCTGCAAAGTGGGATTATTCATATGGCTAACCGTAAGTTGCCTATTGAGCTATTCTACGTGGACGCGAGCAGTCGTCAAAATGAAGTCGTCGCCCAATCTATTGTTGAAATAGTATATTGGAGTATTTAAGCAGCAGCAGTCCAAATCAAACAGTCGACTCTGGGCAGTCCAGCGCGCTTGACTACAGGCTAAACACTTACCCATATTTGCCGCTCGCACTTGCATCTCCAGTGCATCCTGCTCGCATTGTGTTATCTTTGAAATTTGTATGTGACTTTCTCGCCGTGCTAACTTTAGAATTTCTATAAACAAGTGGATAAACAAAAACTCGGTTATTATTGCAGAGCTTATTGGAAAACTGAAAACACACTGTCTTCGCGTGTCGTATATCATAAACAAACGCCACATTATTGATAGAGAAAGAAGAAGAAGAAGAATCAAGAACGCCTTGTGCCAAAATCGGAATTAAAATCCAAATCAGTTGGATACCGGACGTGTGTGAACATTGTCACTGAGATTAAGATTTACAAGCTACAAATTTTACTATCGCACTCATAATGGGCACTTCGTTTTCGCACTTTCTTTTCGATCGGTTCGCCGCCAAGGAGGATGTGCGTGTCCTGATGATTGGCTTGGATTCGGCTGGCAAGACAACAACGTTGTATCAGCTTAAGCTGGGCGCCAGTTTGACTAATATACCGACCATTGGATTCAACGTGGAGCTATTGCAATATAAGCGTCTTCGCCTAACTGTATGGGATATTGGTGGCCAAAAGCGCGTACGATCTATGTGGAACTATTACTATAACAATGCGGCTGGCATAATATTCGTGGTAGATGCCGCCGATGTTGAACGTATTCCCGAGGCCATGAAGGAATTGCACTCCATGCTGCGTGTGAATGAGCTTAAAGACAGTGTGGTGCTTGTCTTTGCCAACAAGCAGGACTTACCAAATGCCATTGCACCCGACGAATTAGCTAGACAATTGTGTTTGCATGAACTACACCAGCGTTGGGCAATTCGCGGCGCCTGTGCATCTAGCGGAAAGGGTATTCTCGACGGCATGGAGCTGCTCTACCGTATGATACGGCAACGTCGTCAACGTATGCGTTCTGAGCGTAAAAAAACATCATCATCCTCCCGATCCTAAATCTATCTCTCTCTCTCACTCTATAGCTCTATGTCTATCTATCTTTCTGTCTTCCTCTCTCTTCCTCACTTTCACTCATTCTCTATATATACATATAATATATATATTTTTAAATATATATATATATATATATTTATATATAGAGCATTTCTGTGTTAACTATTACCTTCAAAGTTTTCCAGCATGCTACGCACATCCTCTTTAAGACGCGCGTTGTACGACTTAAGTAACGCTTCCTTTGACTGTGGCAGGATTGTTGTGCGAGGGCCGTTGGACATTTTATGAGCGTAGCTATGAACTACACTGCCGATGCAGGGCTATAACTGTTTATTTTTACCCTTGTTGTTATTGTTTATTCCTTTCTTTTCCTCTTTCCTTCCTTGTACTTTATATTGTTCTATTATTACCGCGATATTTGCTAATCATTCAGGGTTGCTCAGTCGCATGCGTGGTACAGCAACTATCGCGAGCACACGATTGAACACCGTTCAATCAGCTGTTTTTATTCTTACCTTTCCTATTTGGCTTAATGGCAAAGTCTCTTGAATATGTAGCTGAATTCATATGTAATCATTGTAAAACATATTATCAATAAATAATTGTAATCTCATAATTATACGAGCATAAAGGCATATTGTGAACTATATACCCAATGTAATAATCATGTAATGACTAAATAAATGTAAACTCAATTATGAAACTCACATATTTTGAACTTTGTTTGATCACAGTCATTATTCACAGTAACAGTCATGCGATATTATTGTTGTCAGTTAAATACGTTTTTTTTTTTTTTAAACTAGCAAACGAAAACTCCACCACTTAGTTGACCCCTTTTGTGTATTTGAAATGACAATTTTTATGAATGGGCTATCGATAAACTATCGATATAATAAAGTGCATCGATGAGAAAAATATATTTGTATTGAAAATATCTCAATGGTCCATCGCTAGTTCTTGACCTGCAGAGGTAGTGAAAAGAGATCTCGCAAAAAGCGTCTGAGTTGAGCAAGGCCCTGCCCTGCAACGCAATTTTCATCAAGATAAGCCAACGAAGGAGATTTTACACCTGTAATGCTTTAATGCTTAAGTCCATACTTGGCGCAGACTCGAATGGTTCTGCGGAAGATCTACCAAGCGGAGGCGTTGGCGTTGTCGTGGCCAGCGGCAGTAGCGGGGGAAGTGGCAGTGGCAGCAGCCGCAGTACTGGAGCGCTAAGCCGAGCCAGTTACGGCCACGGCTCCAGCTCAATATCGAGTGGTCTAAGTGCGGTTTGTGGCTTAGTCGGAAGCGGCAGCGGCAGCGGTAGCGGCAGTGGCAGTGGCAGTGCAAGCGCAAGTGGTGGCAGCACACCAGCTACCGTTTATTGTCCTGCATGCGTGGCGAACAGTTCACAACAACAGCAGCAGCAACAGCAGGCGCTTGCCTCTGGCGCTGAGGGTTTACCAGCGCGCGAGTCAAAATCAGGAAAGCGGGCTAAGACGCGGAAGAGTGCATCAACGGCTGGCTGCTTGGACGCTCAACATATACGCAACCATTTAAAAATGTCTACATCGAGCTCCATGCGCAGCACCCGCGGCAACGGGGCCGGCAGCAGCAGCAGCAGTAGCACCACCTCGGCTGTTATACCATCCGGCTGCAGCAGCATCGCCTACGATTCGAATAGCAATGGCAGTTGCAGCAGCTTCAACGGCAAAGTCAACTCGCCAGGCAGCTACAGCTGCAATGCACTCAATGTCGACTTCAGCACCTATACGGCAACGCATCAGTGGTCGCGCATGCTTGAGTGTGCGGAATTTGTCGGTGCCAAGTAAGTAGCAGAACCCATTCAGGGGGATCGAAAACTTTTACTAAATTCTATACACATTTTCCTTTTTCAGACGAAGCAAGCACACTGTGGTTGCCTACAAGGATGCCATGTTCGTGTTTGGCGGTGACAATGGCAAGACCATGCTCAACGATCTCATTAGATTCGGGGTCAAGGACAAGTCCTGGGGACGTGCATGCGCAACGGGCACACCACCAGCTCCGCGCTACCATCATTCGGCAGTTGTGGCGGGCAGCTCGATGTTCATCTTTGGCGGCTATACAGGCGACATTCACTCCAACTCGAATCTGACCAACAAGAATGATCTGTTTGAGTATAAGTTTCTCAGCGCCATGTGGGTGGAATGGAAATTTTCCGGCAGGCAGCCAGTGCCACGTTCGGCGCACGGTGCCGCCGTCTATGATAACAAAATGTGGATATATGCTGGCTATGATGGCAATGCACGATTGAATGATATGTGGACCTTGAATTTGACAGGCGAGAATCATCAGTGGGAGGAGGTGGAACAGCTAGGCGATCGTCCGCCCACTTGCTGTAATTTTCCCGTTGCTGTTGCGCGCGATGCTATGTATGTGTTCTCTGGCCAGAGTGGCTTGCAGATCACCAATTCTCTGTTTGAGTTCCACTTTAAGTCGCGCACTTGGCGTCGCATCTCCAATGAGCCGGTTCTGCGTGGTGCCACCTCCGCGCCACCATCGCGTCGCTATGGCCACACCATGGTGCATCATGATCGTTTCCTCTATGTCTTTGGCGGCTCGGCTGACTCCATGCTCCCAAACGATTTGCACTGCTACGATCTGGACTCGCAGGTATGGTCCGTCATACAGCCGGAGCAGAACTCGGATGTGCCATCGGGACGCGTTTTCCATGCCTCGGCCGTCATCAGCGATGCCATGTACATCTTTGGCGGCACCGTCGACAACAGCGTGCGACGCGGCGATACCTATCGCTTTCAGTTCTCCAGCTATCCAAAGTGCACGCTGCGCGATGACTTTGGCAAATTCTTTCACGAGAAACAGTTCTGTGATATTCAGTTTGTGGTGGGTGCCGAGGAGACGCGTATTCTGGCCCACATTGCCTTTGTGGCAGCACGCTCTAAGTATTTGCGGAACAAGATATTGTCGGCGCGTGAGGCGCTTCAGCACCAAATGGAAAAGCTCTATGGCGTTGGCCAGGTAGATGCGCTTGCTCTCAATACGGGCGTTGGCGCCGATCGTACACCGATGCTGGAAGTGCGACTATCGCATGCCTCGCCCGAAGCATTCGAAATCATACTTAACTACATATATACGGATCGCATTGACTTAAAGGAGTCCTACAACAAGAACATCATCATTCTCATCACGGACATCTATCAATTGGCTGGGCTTTTCACAATGCCCCGCCTGGCGCAGGGCTGCATACAGTATCTGGACTTTAAGATCAATAAGATGAACGTGCTCGAGGCGCTCTACAATGCGGAGAAGAACAAGTGGGTTTCCAGCATTGCGACTTGCTAAGTTTTTTGGTTAAATAATGCAATTTTTCATCATGAAATTTCATTAGCATTAAAATCATCAAGGATCATTGCATGCAGTTCATCATCAAAGACGAGAACTTCACCGATGTGGTCATGTCCAGTGAGTTTAGCGATCTAGATAAGCCGCTTCTGGTCGAGATAATACGCAAGCGTCTGCATCCCAGCAAACTGGTCATGGACACCAGCTTTGAGTCGAATATTGGTGAGTGCTTGCACATGGTATGTGTATATAGACATCATGTGCATATAGGCTCTTGATTTGTCGCACTAGTGATCCTTATGCGCCTTAAGTTTGCATTTAGATCTGGGTTTATTGTTTTGTTTTTGAACCTATCCACGTATATTTAAACTAACTTTTTAACAATGAATGTGCCTCCTGGATGGGATGGAACTGAGATGTGAATGGTCAAGTGTTCCTATTGACGGCTCGGAGTTGAACTCAGTTTGTAAGCTTTGTATAAACAAAAATTGCTCTTTCTATGTGGAAATTGGTGAAACACAAAACGAACAAAATTTAATAATAAACAACAAATGATTCCGCTCGGACTTGGCCGGGTAACTTTCGTTGAAATCCATATACTAATCCGTATCCATGCATATGTGCATATACATATTTAGGTACCACATTGGAGCACGATTTGTCCATGTTCTTAGAGACGACGGGCAAGGACTTTTGCGATATAAGTCTCATACTCGATGATCAGGTGATACCGGCCCATAAGTCTGTGCTATCGGCCCGTTGCACCTATTTCCAGGGCATGTTCCGCTCGTTCATGCCGCCGGATAATACAGTCAATGTAAGTTTTACAATATATTATTCTATTATCTGTATATTAGTTATATCGTTATATTTCCCAAACAGATACAAATTGGTGAAATTTCACCCTCACTGGAGGCGTTTCACTCGCTGCTACGCTATATATATTATGGAGAGACAAAGATGCCGCCGCAGGACGCACTCTATCTGTTCCAGGCACCCTGTTTCTATGGCCTATCGAATAATCGCTTGCATGCGTTCTGCAAATACTCATTGGAGCATAATATAACGTCAGAGAATGTGCTGCAAACGCTGGAGGCGTCCGATATAACTAAAATCTATGACATCAAGGATTATGCATTGAAATTAATTGTGAAAGATTTTGCCAAGGTGGCCAGGCTACCAAAGATAGCCGGTTTGTCGCGCGAACTGTTGCTGGAGATAATACGCGCTGTGGCCGATTCGCAAGGCGAGTTTCTGACCCGCATCAATATCAATACCGATATCTGAAAACTAGTGCTGCTACAGCCGGCTTTGCAGTTGTTGCTCGCCTGGTTGCAAATCGGACGTAGCACGTAGAGCAGCAGTAGCGGTTGGTAGCGCAATAAATCATCCACTTCCACATCGTCAAGCAACCTCATGCTTCCTCTCATCGAATCCCAATTGAGACTCGCATTTTTCCCTAATGCATTAGCATCACTAACAATAGCAAAGAAAGCCAACTAAACTAAATTTGTATGCCCATTGCATTGCACGGGTCATGGACAATCCAAAGAAACGAATGCGACAGAGACAGCGATAGCGCAGATAGAGCGGGAGCGAGAGCCACTGCTCTCTCTTGGTTAGGTAAAAGGCTAGGGTATAGTTGTGTAGTACATAGGCTCTGAAAATTGTTATGAACTAAATGGATTCGTAGGCCAGCGTTCTCTAGCAAATAATAATATTTATTCTGTTTGTATTTGAAGGAACCTAAATGTTTCCCATAAATGAATTGTGTAAAGTGAATTCAAAGTGAATTAGACTAAAGAGTTTCCAAAATACTTGCTATGCTATATCTATTCCATAAACTGAACAATTTACTGTGCTAATACATTAAATAACGCAAATGCTTCATTGTACAAATATGTTTGTAGGAATATTACCCACGTTAGGATCTACCTTGAATAGATAGCTGGATAGAAATTTAATGCAAATTTGCCATAGGACCTAAGGGAATATGTTCAGCAGATCGTAGGCTGGTGTAGGAAAACTGTTTTAGCCAAGGGCATGGATTAGTATTGTACTGATCTGAACTTGAAATGCGAAGCAGGAAATTGCTTGATCGATATTGTAAATGGTGAGGCAAGATATTGAAATGAAAGTTAAATCGAAATTGTATTTGTATTGTACTGAGTTTTATACATAGTTATAATTGATGCTGCCAAGATATATATATATATATATGTATTTCATTATATATATACATATATGTATAGAACAGACAAGTACGTACATGTATTTCATACACAACTCTCTCATTAGCTCACGAATCATAAGAATCATTGAATGGTTATCAAATGCTGGCCGCATTGTGTGAGTCTTGGGAAGTGTGGAGATGTTTGTATGAAATATATATAGACATATGTATAATGTATGCATATGTATGTAAAGCATAAATGTATGTGTATATATATGTGTATGATTAAATGCTTATATGCACAATATGTACCTAGGCCATAAACTTGTCTAATTGATTATATGGTTTTTCGTTTAGTTATATTTGACTTATCAGTTAACTGAATGTCCAAGCTTGAAGCTAATAAATTACATATATATATGTATATATGACATATACATATGTACATATGCATGTATATAAATGCGAAACAAATCGAACGAAAATCAATTAAAAAACATTCTGCAAGAGTGTAAACAATTGCAATGCCAAACAGCAGAGCAATTTTTATCAAGCCTTAAATAATAATCGCACTGAATTCCAACCTCATAGTATACCCCATATGGATATATACAATTATTTGTATCCAATAATCACCTCACCCATTGGGCTTATATGTATATTAAAATTAATTGAATAAAATCAAATCAAATCAAAGACCTCAATTTAAGCATAGGCAATAGACAACAAATAAATAACAAACAATTTTAGAGCAAAGAACAAACAAACAGTTAACGATTTATAAACAATTGTAATAACGATAAACGCGATCAACAACAAATTTGTATGCCAAGTGTAAATTGAATATTGTTTTTATATATTATTTGAGCTTAGTTAGAAATGAATATGTTTCTTGCCGATAAAGTATATGATAATTTATTTGGTTCTTAGGACAGAGTTGTGATAGCTGTTTCTTTCTAAAACGTCATGTTGATGGTATTAATAATTGTAATTATTATTATTATTATTATTATTATTATATTATTGAGTTTAACATTTAACAATATATATACAATAAGCAATATTATTGTTTTCTAAGCCATTTTATTTGAGATATATTTGCAATTTTATTTATATATGAAAAACAAAAACAAAATAAAACAAGATTTTCATTGAAAATCAATTTGATCCGTTGCGAGACAAATATATGCATTAAGATATAAATATACAGAAATTGTATTAACGCTTATTATATATATATATATAGTATGTAATCATTGTTGCCCACAATTAACCAACACTGATCAGCCAGTGTTGTACAAGCCCCAGTTGATGCATCCAATCGAAAGTATGAGAGTCAAACAATCAAAGCTCCTCAGTTTCCATTCGCATGAGGCTTTTCATGTGCAACCCTTTAAATAGCATTATCTGGAAATAGACCATGAACGATTCCATTCAAAACGATAGTCGGCTAGTGCAAGACTGCGAATCGGTTCCCAATCGAATCGATTTGAACCCGGAACTTTCATTTGTCTTTTGATACGTGTCAAAGTCGAGGCCAAACGTATAGAAGCCAAACCACATACATATGTATGTATGTAGAGATATGTATGTATGTATATCCGCAATAGATATGACATTTTTGCAACACAATATGGAATCGTTTCATTTAAATTGTAAGCAAATTGTTTGTTTTTATTCCCCCTTTGTTACCCCTTGAGGGTGGGCAAGCCAGCTGCACGAATAGAATCGAATCTAAAGACATATTGAACATATTTAATTTGTATTAGGCATAGTTCATATACAAAACTAAATAAAATATACAATTGGTATGCAAAATAATAATATAATAATAATAATAATGATATATATGAGAAATATGTTGCTTTTCAATTTTTGGTATTTATGCTGTCGTAGTTGGGCGGCTTCCCAGGGGAATACCCCTAATATGGATAAAATTGTCAAACTGTACCCTTGGGTATTTTTAATTTTTGCTGGCACAATTGGAAGCTGGAACAATTTGCCAAAGCAAACTTTAACACTCAACCAGACACACACACACACACACACACATACACGCATAGTCGAGAGAATGTGCTAATGTAGCTGGGATGCTGGGAGCAATGGAGAGATACAAATACCTAATAAAATTGTACACAAACAAACAGTTGGCAGCGCATTGAGATAGCAGAGGATGCGATGGATAATGTAAGATAGCACAGCTCGATGGAATTAAAGCAAAACAAAAGGCTGCCAAGGACAAAGCCCAAGCCGAATCGTGAGGCTGAGCAATGTCGCCTCGCCTCCGTCTTGCCTGCCGCCTCCTGCCCGCTGCCTGCCGCCTCCTGCCCGCTGCCTGCCGCCTCCTGCTCGCTGCCTGCTTATCAAATGCAAATTACAAAATCAAATATGCCAGAGCCAGAGACCGGAGTGCTCCAGGCAATGAATGAGCTGGCTGAAGCCAAGCAGGCAGCATTTTTGGGCACAGTTTCAATATGCCAGCACGCACTAGAGCTGGCCGCGTGACACGAGCTGATATCGTTGTTGGAACTCCAAGTTGTGAACATCGTATGTGGTATGTTAATGTCACGCTTTTGTATAGCTCTTTTTCACTCTCTCTCTCTCTCTCTCTCTCTCTCCCGCACTTTCTATCTTTTCCTATATCTATCCTCACTTCTGTTTTAGTTTTTTGTCTCTCTCATTATCTCCCTGTCTCTCTCCCTCTCTTTAGCTCTCTCTCTCTTCCACTCTCTTTGAATGTATCTCTCTCCTTTCCACGCTTTCTCTCATTTTATATCTCTGTTTTAGTTTTTGTCTCTTTTTTTTTATTATCTATTTCTCTATCTATCTCTCCCGTAGGTTTTTTACTTAGTCTTACTCTCTCTCTCTCTCTCTCTCTCTCTCTCTCTCTCTCTTTGTCTATTTGTATGTCTGTTTCTCTCTCTCTCCCCCTATCTTTCTAATTTTTCACTGCTTTGTCTATTTCTCTCTGATTTTCCCTCTCTCTCTCCCTCTCTTTATTTCTCTCTCTTTTCCTTCCTCTTACTCGCCATCAAGTCAATCGCCCGAGAGAGAGAAAGAGATTCCTCTTCTAGTCACGTTCTCTTTTTCACTTTCTCAGTCTATAGCTAAATTCTAATTTCACTGATCCTAAATGCTTTTGATGTCTATGGCATTTCATATAGAGTCCATTGAAGCATTGAGTTCTTGTACAAGTGTTTTCTGAGCACTTGAATAACATAATAAATATGCGACTTTTCCAGATTTGTTACTTAATACTAAACTCTTTCCGTCTATAATTACGCCCTTAATCTCAAGCGTGGCCTTCTCCTGAGTATCGAATTGTCATTTCAAATTTGTCACGCGCTCATCCCTACAGACATCACAAGTTGGAGTGCGAGCTGGAGTCTGTGTGCTGGCCTTGTGCATGTCAAAGTTTCAGATACAGCTACAGCTATAGATGGAAATACAGATACAGATAGGGATACAGTTATATAAGTGCACGCCTCTCAGTGCCTACACTGACAATTCAATTTATTGCCATGGCAACATGCTAAATTATTTGAAAACTATCTAAACTGTGTAGGTCCCAGGGCATTGAGTCTTTATGCTTCAATATCCCAGCTGAAATTGCATAATTCTGCTCCTCTGACGTATGCCAAACTTTTCGTAATTTTGACTTAACTGAAATGATTTGTAATGGGGAGCAATTCATTGGATATGAATAATTTACATTGGTTAGATGAGGAGCTAATATAGTATAATATATATAGATAGAAGATTGTTTATATATTACATTTAAGGACTCATGTCTGTCTCATGCCTGAGTGACTTTCAACTTATTGGCAGATTCCTCAAATAAGTTTCGTTGTAAGTTTTCAATTATGGACTCAAGTAGGGCGCCCTTTCTTCCCCCTCTCTCTATATATAGAGTTTACCCCAATCTCTTATCTCTTATCTAGCTAATTCCATGCCCATGCCTGTCGGCTCGTCTGTTTCTCGCTTTTCTTTGTCGGAAGCGGCAAAAGGGAAAAAAAGAAAAGAAAATTCCTTTGCCGCCTGTCAATTTCCAAGTTCATAATTTAAGCCAACAAAGCCCAAATGCGATCGAAGTCAATCAGCTGTATAATATGTCTATATGCTGGCATTGGTAATAGGCCTACACACATCCAAATAAAAAGGGGTATGGCTGCTGGAGGTGGGGGATTTTATTTTTGGGGTGGCTGCGGCTCGTTTCATGATGCTTTTTAATATCCGTTTCATGTGGATTTATGCGCTTCAAGTTCACGCTGAGCGCCAACACATAAATTTCATGGCAATTGAAGCCCCCTTTCCCCAGCCCCTCAAAAAATAAGAAAGAAATAACTCCAACTACAACAGCAACAACAACAAACCGAAGCCCCAACCCTCAAATCCCCACAGCTGACAAAGGGTTAACTTGTATTGGCTGCGGGAAACTTTACTTAAATTGACTTGTGGCATTTTTCAAAGTTCTTTTCGTTTTTCGTATTTTTTTTTGTACCCCTCCGTTGACCAACTTCGATTAATTTATGGGGATAACGATTGGCCACTGCTTCCACCCGGCCACAGTGCGGGGAGCGTCGCATAAAGTGTCATTAAAGCAGCTTGCCTGATTAAAGGCATCAATTTGGTGGCATTCCCATACACACACACACACACACACACACACGCATACACACAACTCAATCCTAC